TCTAATACGCTTACCGGTTAAACTTAAAAAAAAATATCCTAAAAAAACGTTACTACAAATCATAAAACCGTTATATAATCTCGTTAAATCGGAAACTTATTAATTTAAAACTTATTCGTAACACCATTAATAATAATTGCATATAAAACCATTAACGTTTAACCTATACTTATTAATAATATAATTAAACCCTTTTAAACTCACCGATTTTTAAATAAATAACACTTTTAACATTAGCATAAATAAATTCCTCGCCGCTAAAAATAAGACATTTATAAAAATAAATATTAAGGCACGACTTTAAAAAATTTTAAATAAAAAAATAAAAAACTTTAACGGCTTAAAAATTACAATCCACGAAAAAGGCTACGATATTTTTACCATATAAAAAAAATAAACTAAAAAACTTAGTCTTTTAAATCTTAAAGCCTTAAATATAATTAAAAAATTCGTTAAATAAAAAACCTAAAAAACGTATATTTTATCAATTTATTAACTTAAAGCTATCTTTAATTACTTAATAACGACCTAACACTTATAACTAAGGCTTAAAGAAGTAAAAGCATTAAATGTTAAAATTAAATAACAATTAAATAATAAAGATTAAAAGCTTAATTATGTTAACCTTAAGCCTTAAAACCTACGCTTATATATTTTTATTAACAAATTATTTACGAATAATTAAAATCTTAACTTATAAATTAATTACATTATTATCTTAAAAATTAAATAAACCATTAATTAAAATAATAAAATATAAATTACTAAAAATATTATCCATTAATCATCCATTAAATATAAACGAATCACATGTAATGTATTAATTAATAAAATCTATAAAATAATTTAAGGCTTTAACGTTAATTACGTTATTTATCACATTTTTAATATTATTTTAAAACGGCTGTCGTTTCTTAAAATTCCCCTTATATTTTACACTAACTCCTTCTCGTTATACCAATACTTAATCCAAATAAAAAACATAAATAAAAAATAATTAATAATTAACTTAATAACTTTTTAACAATTTTATAAAAACTAAAAAATAAATAACATCCGTTAAATTTAAAATAATTATAACCCGGCCGATGTTATAATTAAAATATCTTTAAACGAAATCATAAAAACATTAATAAAAACTAATTAAATTAATCTATAATTAAAAGGATAAATTAAGCGTGAGGTAAACGTAACGTTCGCAATTAATTAATCGTAAAAAAAAAAAAAAATAAATAATAATTATATAATAAAAATATATATTAACGTAATACGTATATGGTTAAAAGAGGTACTTATATAACTTAAATTATATAAAAAGTTAAATCCCCTCCTTACTTTTAAATTTAAACCTCCCTCTTTAAACATTAATATTACACTAATCTCACCCTTATTATTCTTACTTTACTTATTATTTAATTTATCATACGTACATACCTACTAATATTAATATTATTAAAAATTTGTTTTTTAAGGTTTATTTAATATTTATAAAGTTTTTTAATACAATAATACCATTCTTAATTTAGTTAAATACTTTTTTAAATATTAAGTTATTATTTAAAAAAATTATAATTTTACCTTTATATTATATGTTAATCGCTTATAATATATTAAAGATAAAAGGGATATTATATTTTACATGTTAAAATTATTATTTTAAGTGGTTTAACTATTTTACCGTTAATTTATTACCTTTAAAACGATTATATCTTAATAAGTTTAAAATTTAAAAGTAATGTAAGGTAATTATTAGATTAGCCGGAATATTTTAAAATAAAAATAAAATAAAGTTTTCGATATTTAGTTTTTTATTAATATATAAATTTATAAGGTTTATAATAAGGTTTATAAGTAATAATATAAAAAATAGGTTTATTAATATATAATAATTAATTTAATAAGATTAATATTATTAAAATTAATGGAATTAATAAAGTTAATAATAATTAATTTAAGGAATAATTAGATTTAACGTTTTAAATATAAAAGATTTTAAAAAGAGAGAAATAATTAATGAAATAATAAAAATTAAAATAAAGAAAAAAAAATTATAATTAATTTTAATAAATTAGTTAAAAAGATTAAATTAATAAGGTAACTTATTTAAGGACTTTTTAGATATAAATATAAATAAATTAAATTAAATGATTTTTAATAATAATATAATTATTAATAAGCTTAATAAAGTCGATAAAAATTAGTTTAAAAATATTAAAACATTTTTAAAATATTATAATAATATCTTTTACAATAAATTTAAATGAAACGTATAAAACATTAATGAATAATATTTATTTAAAATTAAGAAATAATTTAAACAAAATTACTAAAAAAGATCTATTAGTTTCAAATAAACTATATATTAAAAGAAAGAAAAGGTCTAAGATTAATCCCTGTAGGACAGGCTTTTTACCTATGTCCTCTTATCTTATCTATAGTAGGTGGCACCTGCCATAGTATCTCCTACCTATCTAGTAGTGCAACATTTAAATGGCAACACTGAACACTGAATATTGCACATGTGTGGTCACTGTGGTGTCTTATTCTTGCTCTTACTCTGACTTCCATGCTTTTCACTGCAACGTCCGATTAGTGGAAGTCCCCCAACCACCCAACATCATCATTGTATACCTACATATCTAACCTACATAGTGGTATCTATCACGCTCAACACAATATATAGCAGGTCCATCCGCCGATATATTGTACTACTACTACTACTACTACTACTACTACTACTACTACTACTACTACTACTACTACTACTACTACTACTACTACTACTACTACTACACAAATATAGGCACTACAATGACTACATACTACAAGTAGTATATAATACCTGCCTACCAAATAATATATCTGCCGGGTTTCCCATTAACTACCCCAGGAACAAACATTAATCACCATCATCTATACATAGGTATTCAAGGATACGTGTAATTGACGGGTATGTACGCCGTATGTATGTATGTATGTATGGAAATGGGGCTCTTCTTTAAAAGCTCCTTTCTTCCCGCAAAGCTCGGTCGTCTTTTCCGTCTCGATACCCGTACGTACATAGGTAGGTAGCATAGTAGTACACGGTCTAGATTTGAGCCTATGACCAGTATTGCATACAACATAGACGTAGGTTTCTGGAGACTGGCAGTCTATTAGGTGGACGATGAGGAATTTCAAGATAGCCTCAAGATACAAAAAAAAGGCGTTGGCATCTGAAACCAGTTCTTAGGTATGTAAGCACCTAGTACCTATGTAGATGCGTCCAAGCATGGCGTTGCACCGTTTGTCCGTACGTACCAATGTATGTAGTCCTACATGGTCATTTTACAACATACAACATAAAATACCCGGCAAATTGCAAGCAATTTAAATTAGTAAAACTTTACTAATTTGATATCTGGAAAATCGTCGCTCCGCAACAATTTTGATTTTAAGTACTATTTCTTAATTTTTTTATTTTTTGAAATACTAAACATGTAATCATGCCTCCGGCGGCTCCTGCGGAGTGCTGCTCGCTCCGCTCGGAAAGGAAAACAGATTTAAATCACCCAAATGTTTAATCCAATTAAAAGCCAGCCATTGGCCAGTTTGAGTGGGCACTTTCTTTCACGTACGACATAGTAAGGCAATAGTTACATAACAATCACGTGATGGTAGGTTCCTTTCACATCAGACACCGATTACATAATACTCACGCCAGTGACGACGGGTTCCTTTGGCATGGATTACGTGGTACTCACGTGACGGTCGGAATACCGGCGTAATGGACGGACCGGACTCACACGTGAAAAGAGTAAATTATACTTCCCTCCAGGCCACGTGATATTGTTGAGAATATCAAGTGGCCCCATCTACTAAGCCTAGATCAACCCATGCGCCGGGACTTACTGGTATTAGGGCTGGGATCGGCTCGGCCGGATGGGGAGAAATTGTCGGATTGGGGGGATTCATGGGTATAGGAGGGAGGTTCGGAAAGCCGGTTGTCGGAGGCCGGCTGTATTTGGGAACCGCTTGCGGCGATGGGACTGCCCCAGGGGGGATTTACGGCTGATGGTACATGTTAGCGTCAGGGATAAACCCTCCCGGAAGCTCTGAAAGCTCTCCTGGAGCAGGTCACGGCAGCAGCGGCGGAAGCGCAGCATTCCGGGGCCGGCCGACCCGCCTCGGAATGGGTGTATCAGCCATTAATTCAATGGATCAACTGGGTTGGGGCTGTGTGGCTCTTGAAAAGCTCTTGAAAAGCTCTTGAAAACTCTTGAAAGCCCTTGAAACCTGAAAAGTGGTTGAAAGGAGGAAGAAAAGAATTACAACAGCTTGGGGGTTGAGAGCCCTTATATAGACCGGTCTAGAGCACGCTCCATCAGTACGTACCCCAACCATCCAAGGCAAACAGTTAGGCAAACTAAGCGCTAGTAAGCCTATTGAAATTGAAGCCATCCTATTGGCTCAAATCTGGACCTATTGAGCCGCTAGTAAAAAGTGAAACGTTTGGAGCCAACTTTCAAGCTGTTGATTGATTGGGTGCATCGCTTTTCAGCCCCCAAATCCAGCAAACCACCTTCCACACCACCTTCAACACCACCATGTAAATCAATTATTTCAAATATTTCTTGAAATATTTGATTTAGGTGGTGGTGTTGAAGATGATTAATAAGATGGATTAAATGGATCAAATGGATCAAATGGAAAAAAGTTGAAAAGAAGAAGTTGGAATGGAAGAATTAGAAAAGATGGATTGGATTAAAAAGATGGATTGGATTAGTCAGCTTTGATTATTAAGAATGGAACTGAATGGATGGAATTGAATGGATGGAATTGAATAGAAAGTGGCTGAATTGAGGCTGTGGAGGCTCAGCTCCTTATCTTATCAGTTTCTGCGGGAAACAGAGTCCGAGCTTGAAATTTTCACTCATAGGCACGGCTCCACTACACGATTTTATTAAGTAAAACTTTACATTTAACTCGTCCCTCCTTAGTAAAGTTTTACTAATAAATTCAAGTGCACAAGGTAGAGTTCACAAGGGTCAATTCATGTAATAAAGTGTTTTGTTCATTATCAGAAGTTCCTATTTAGAATAACATCTGCTTCATTCTGAGATGTCCTGGATCGGCAACCTTAAAAGGGGGTATTGTGTCAGAATCATTGGTGCCGCCTGATTTCCGTTCGGTGCCAGGTAACAAGTACCAAAAGGCCAACCGACTGTGACCACGAACGCCTGCTAGCCGGAAACTCTGCCATCCGGCCAGTGCCCCGAGCGAGGAGCAATTAGTCTATCAATACATGCAAATAGTACGAGAATAGTATCCCTTGAGGCATGGTCCTAGTGTAACGACACATAAGAGGGGTGAAGAGATCCGTTCCAGCATAAAGGACATGAAGAAGGTTCGTAGAAGGCATGAAAGGTGAAAATGTAAGATGTGCGAAAGAATGCAGAAATCAATACTGAGTAGTCCATCCCTGGACTCTCTACCAATATCATAACTTTTCCGGAACCGTCGTCAGGATTGAGACCTCATATCGTTCATAAGAGGTCGTAAAGAAGGGTTCAACCGTCATCACCTACGCCTTCTCTTCAGCCTTCTCCTCCTTCTTGCTGCCTTCACCCTCAGAGCTGCCCTGCTGCTTAACATATTCGTCGTAAACAGACATGGCCTCGTCTACCTTGGCTCGAAGAGCATTCTCTTCCTCGATACTGTAAGATGTTAGTGGTGTTTTTGAAAGAATTGGGAATATCTTGACTTACAGGTTGACTAGCTCTGCATTATCCATCTCCAATAGCATGCCCGTGATCTTGCCTGCCAGCTCAGGTTGAATAGCCTGAATCTTGGGGAAGATAAGCTCGCCTAGCATCTGTTTTTGCTGTTGTGGGTTGTTGGACTGAGCTTGTAACTGCGAGTGAAGCAACGACGTAGGCGTTAGGTCATGCTGCATGCTAGGTGCACCTCCAATCGGCTGGTTGGGGATGCCACGTCCACCCTGCGGGGGGAATTGTCCACCCTGGCCATTTCGCTGGTTCATGCCACCACGACCAGCAGGGCCGCCTTGTCGTGGGTTAGGCGGGTAGCCAGGCATTCCACCCGGGCCGCCAGGCATGCCCATATTGGTAGGCATTCCCTGAATGGGCCCACGACCAGCCGGGGCTCCTCGTCCACCTCCCAAGGCAGTTTGCTGCACTTGTGCCATCGCAGCCATGAACTGCGGGTTGCCCGGCTGACCGTATGGAGCACCTGGTGGGAACTGTCCAGGAACGTACATGTTGGGGGGCATTTGTGGTATGGGTCCACCACGACCACCCTGGGGTCCTCCGTAGGCATTTGGGTTGAACTGGCCTGGTCGACCACCCTGAGCGCCTGGCATACCGATTCCGGGGAAAGGCATGCCACGACCAGCTTGCGGGGGGAATCCAGGTTGTTGGCCGGGGGGGTAGAAGACGGAGGGTTGCATGAACTGCTGCGGCATGCCGGCTACCGCCGCAGCTTGCTGCATTCGGAGTTGGTTGCGAGCTTGGATACTAGCCTCAAGCTGGCTCTTTCGAACATCCTTACGCTGCGCTAGAGCGACGTACAGCGGCTTGCTGTTGATCATACGTTGATTCATGTCGCCGACGGCTTTCGTAGCATCGTCAGGGTTGGCAAAGCAAACGAACCCAAAGCCCTTGGACTTGCCAAGCCTCTTATCGCCCTTCTTATCCTTCTTATCGCCTTCCTCCTTATCCTCGTCACCTGAGTCCTTCTGATTCTCCTTATCTTTTCCTTCCTTGTCATCGTCGGACTCGCCGATGCTGTCGCGCATAACCTTGGCCGAAGTGATGGGGCCGAACTCGGAGAACATTTGGCGCAACTTGTCGTCGTCTACATCGTCATCAAGGTTCTTGATGTACAGGTTTACGCCCTGGTATTTACTAGCCTTCTCTTGACGAGCAGCCTCGTATGACTTGCGTAGTTCCTCCTCGCGCTCGTGCTTCTTTTGAGCGCGGCCGACGTAAAGATCTTGGCCGTGGAAATCCCTGTTGTTAAGGTCATCGACCGCTCTGGCGGCAGCTTCATGAGTAGTGAAGTTGACGAATCCAAAGCCACGAGACTTGCCCTCGTTGTCACGAGCCAAAGACGATGAAGTGACGTCTCCAAACTTCTCGAAGAGATCTCGAAACTCGTCATCGGTAACATCAGCTTGAATGTTCTTGACGTAGACGTTGGTGAAGTTCGCCTTCATCTCTTCAAATTTACTCTGGCGATCCTTTTTTGGAATATGGTGACCAACATAGACCTTCTTCTCGTTGAGCAGCATTCCATTAACATGCTTGATAGCTTGAGCAGCGGCCTCGTCAGTCTCGTAATGCACGAATCCGTATCCCTTAGAGTTGCCATTCTCATCCTGAGCGACCTTGCAGCTTAAGATGTTACCAAAAGCGGCGAAGGTGTCGTGCAAGGCCTTGTTGTCAATGGCAGCATCAAGGTTCTTGATGAAGATGTTGCCCTGGCCGCTCTTGCGCAAGTTGGGGTCACGCTGAGACCACATGATGCGGCAAGGACGACCCTTGATCTGGGTGTAGTTAAGCTCCTCGAGAGCGCGTTCGCCATCGGCGGTGGTGTTGTAGTTGACGTACGCATATCCGAGGGAGCGACGGGTGACGGCATCACGGCAAACGCGTATGGAAGCGACCGAGCCAATCTGCGAGAAAAGCTCAAAAAGCATCGCTTCGGTGACGGAAGGGTCAAGCTCGCCAACGTAGAGGGAAGCGGAAGCGGCCGGGTGGGGGGTCTGGGCGGAACTAGGAGTTGGGCCAGCGGTATCAGCCTCGTCGCCTTGACTGTCGGGGGAGACATTGGTGTTGATGGCGGTAGGCTTGGCATCACCGCCATTAAGAGAGGTGTTGCCGAGGTCGGCGGCAAGCTGATCAACAGCGCCGGGGGCAGTAGTAGCAGACATTGCGGTTCGGTTAATTGACTAAAGAAATAAAAATACTGTTAGCGTGATTGATTGCAAAGTGAGATTGTGGCTCGACCTAGCGCAAAGCAAGAGGGGAGTGATCAAGGTCGGTATTTGTTGACTAGACGACTTCTTGTTTATGAAAGTGGATGAAAGGTGGGAGAGGATATAAACGTACTAGTCAAAGCTACAAGAAGAATTATGTTCTTGGGATCGTGAATGGCTACCGCGAGTGAATGAAGACTAGTCGGACAAAGGCAGTCCTCGAGACTTCAAAGAAGGTACTGATGGTTAAAAGATCTAAGGCTACTCGAGCTCCAAGAGAATAAACTATCACGCCGGAAAACGGGTGATGAGTAAATAAGAGCGAGTTGTTGACGAAGATCACCTGTTCAAAGGAAAAAGGTCGAATGCGCGGCAGCGGGGATAGGAAGCCGGAATGAAGTACCTAAAAGGTATTGAGAGTGATGATGGGAAGTGGGATTTTTTTATGTTTTCCGAATTTTTTTGGTGTTTTGGTCTGAAAGAATTTGGCGAGAACAGAAACCCAGTACGAACGATGAAGGACGTACTTTATAACTGAATCTCTTTTTTGGTTTTTTGGAAATTTTTTGGGGGGGACGAGCTGGCGGATAAAGTTGTCAAGTCGTTAGAAAAAAAAAGGGAAGAAGAGAAGAGAAGAGGGTCCAGTCCTTTCTTTTAGAGATCTTGAAGATTTTTTGTGCCTCTTGGTCGCGATTAACCACACAAAAAATTTCAACCATAAAAAGAAGCGGGTCTAACTTAAGCTACCGTAGGTGCTACTACTAGTAGATAAATTTTAGAAAAGTATGATCGATGATAGTAGACTAGGGTAGGTACCTACTATGTATACCTACATATATCCATCGATATGTACCTACGTAGATGCATGTAATACCTCCCAAATCATCACTGATCAATCTGTACCTGCCTAGTTTCGGTACTTTAGGTTCGGCAAACTTTACATGTATGCCTAAGATAAGGTACCCACGATGGTCAAGTACGGGAAAACATCTACTCATGTAAATAGGGCCAATCATATTTAGACGAAGTAGCGTATGCGTGTATGCGTGTATGCGTGTATGTATGGTAGACATCCATGTTAGTCATCTCAGTACATTATGTACATAGTAGCAATGTAGCATCACACATGGCAAAATTTAAAGCTTGGAAAGGGGAAACTAACATTACATACTAGGGAAGCATTTGAATATGGTCGAACTACATATGTATACCTAGTATCTATGCTTTGCAGGAGGGTAGTTGCATACTATGTGCAAATAAGGATGGGCTAGTTGTAAGTGAGAGGGCAAGATTAAGTAACTAAATTTATTCGTAAATGTTTATCCGGAAAGTGAGAGTGTGCAAATCTTGGCTGAAGGGTTGGGGAATGTTTGTTTAATAGCTTCGCTTCCGTGAAGATGAAGGCCGCTTTCGATCCGAATGGGGGTTGTGTTGTTTGAAACCAAAAATAATATCAGCACTGTCGCCGTCGCCAGCATTGATTTAATGTACAGAAATATCGTCTATCATGTCCAGCCCATCCAATCCAGGTCCTATAATCTTAATCAACATATCACTAAATAGCCTGATCAAAGGCCTTTCTATTGATACTGACCGTAGCCCCTCCCGGTCCGGAATGGTTGAGATATGTAAGGAAACACACGGGCCGGGTACCGCGAAATGTGGGCCCACGTGACCACCCGGATCGCATACACTGTAGTAGGTCCTTTGGATATGCCTTGAATGTCTCTACCATCAGAGCACCTGAAGGTGTCGGACTATACGCAATCAATTTGTCTGATTGAGGCGATCAAATTGATTGTAATTTCACACTTTGTGATTTTGTATGAATGGGTGGTTGCGGGTGGGAATATATTGCAATACGCGAGCCAGCTTAAACAAGTACTTTTACTACTAGTACTACGCATTCAGTCTTACTCTACATTTAAGTTAAAATATTAAACACTATTTGGATGAAATATATCGGTAAGAAATAAGCAAACGAAAGTGGAATAATTAAGGGGAGTAACAAGCGGTGACGCTTTCCTAAAAGCTTAAATAATATGTTATTAAAAGATAATGTGGGAATTGTGGGGAATAGTCACGTGACCCATATGGTTTGTGCCTATATTTGTAGCTTATTTTAATAAGGAAAGGATTTTCGATCCTTTCCATTTTACTTAATAATTTTAACTATATTTATAATTTTAATCTTTTATTTATAACTTATCGTAATTACGAAACCATTTTATTTATTTTAACATTAATTAATGGTTAATAAGATAAATTAATTATAAATAATAAGGAGATTTATATCGAATAATATTATTAATAATATTAAAATAAAAAAAAACGAAGACTTATAACTTTAAATTTAATTGGAAATTCCTGGATAAAAAATTTCATTTAAAATTTTTAAATTAAAACTTTTCAAAATTTGCAATTATTATAAGTATGGGAATTTTATATTAATTTGAAAATTTTAAAGCGTTATATTATATTTACGTTTATAAGTTTACGTTTATTATATATAAAAAGATTAAACCGAGATTTATTAATAAATATTTAAGGCGTCGTATTATATTTATATTAATAATATTCGAGAATATTATGAGAAAGCTTTTTATATAAATAATTTAATTAATGATTTTTTATTAAGTTATAAAACGACGTTTACTTTGATAAAATTTAGTTAATTTTTTTAATTAAATTAAAAACTTACTTAAATTAAAAGCTTACCTAAGTTAATATTTATTTAAGTCGATTTATTTAAAAAATATAATTAGGAATAAACTTTTAAAACGATTATATTATATTTTAATAATTAAGTATTTATATATTATTTAAAGTCTTGTTATTTACACCTTATTAAATTACTATTAAAGCTTATCCGTATTTTAATATATCTAGAACTAGCGTTTAAAGGCCATTAATTTAAACTTTCTCGTTAACTTTAATTAAAAGATTTAACATAATTTCCAATTTAAGACTTAAATTGAAATGCATCTTATATTATTTAAATCAGCTTAATTAAACAATTTAAATAATATATGTTTTAAATTAATGCGATCGGTGGTTGCGAAATTATTTAAATTTAAAGATTAAATAACACCTTAAAAATGGTATAAGCTTAAATGGTCCGTGCACCACTTTAGGTCAGCTAGCGCCACATTAGCGGCAAAACGTTTATTTCACTCTTTTTTAAATAACTTTATAATTATCGATCGTATTAATTTAAAATATATATCGTTTAAAAGCTTTAATTAAGACGGCTGTAACGATCTTAAATGCATTATATTATAATCTTTAAATAAAAAGTTATTAAGGGTTATATGTTTAAGGCTAGCTAAAAAGCTTAAACTAACAGCCCTTAAACGCTAATTTCTTATATATTAAGATGCGGATAAGCTCCGATAGCAATTTTATAAGATGTAAATAATAAAACTTATTATTTATTTTATAAACCTTAACCTTACATTACCTCGCGTTAATACGCGATTATATTATTAAAAAATTTTTTATTAACTTATAATTATACTTTTTATGCTTAAACTTATTATCTTAGGTTATACTTTTTTTTATTACTTATAAAGTTTTTTTTCTTATAAAAGTTTTTCTTAAAAACTTAAACTTATAAATATAAACTTAATTATATTAACGTTTATTTATTTTTTTATAACATTTATACTTAACTTTTTATTATTATTATACTTAATATTTACTTATTATAATAAGCTTTATACGTTCGTTATTTTACATATTACATAAGTAATTACTAAAATAACGGGCTTTTTTAAGAAAAAAAAAAGATAAGTTATTATTTTAACTTTAAAGTTAAATCTTAAACGAAAATATAGCCGTTTAATATAAGATATATATATTAAAAACGAATATAACGATAAAAAGGTGGATTTAAAAGATATTAACGAGTTAAATGCTTTAACGTTAAATATATATTATACGGAAATATTTTTAATATATAATAATAACTTTTATGATAAAAACTTTTAAAAAAAATATTAAGTCGATTTTAATGGTTAAAAAGTAAAACATTTCAATAAATTAAATTAAATATTAAAGTTAAAAATAATTAACTATTTTTTTAAGTATGGTATACGAACTTTTAATCGTGTTTTTATCGAGAAATTTAAAAGGGTTATTAATATAAAAGAATTTTTTATATTATTAAAAAATAAGGCTACGAACGTAAATACAAAGTATTTTATAATATTTGTTTTTATAAAAAACCTTAGTTATTAAAGGAAGCTATAATAAGATACGAAAAATATAAGTGATATTAATTTAAAACGATTTTTTAAAAAAAATAATTAAAGTGAAGTTTTAAAAACTTATAAACGATAATTTATAAGATTAAATTAAAGCATTTTAAAAGTTAAGGTAATTATTGTTATTTTAATTTTTAATGTAAATAAACAAGCTAGTTTAAATAAATTAAGTGGTTTATTTATTTTAAATAATTAAATTAAATAAAATCTAACTTTAATTTTAATTTTAAGTTTAAAATTAGGTTTAAGTTTAAATTAAGGTTAAAAACTTATTATATTTAATTAATTCTTTAATTATAATAATAATTACCCTTCATTTAATAATATAATTACTTTTTAATAAAAATTAATTATAAGTCTTTCGATTTTATAATATAACTTATAATCTTTTAATCCTTTAAATATAAACTTAAGTTTTTAATTAAAAATAACTAATTAAGTTTAAGATAATTAAAATAATTAAGGATGAAATAATTAAGGAAATTAAAGTAATAACTAATTAATAATCTTTTTTAAATAAAAATTATTATATAAATTATAACTATTATATAAATTATAAAATTTATAGGCGATTACCGATTTTATTAAAATGTATAATAATGATAAAATTAAATTTAGTGGTGATAAATATAATATCTTTAACAAAAAAATAAAAATCTTTAAGGATATATATAATAAAGCTAAAGTTTTATTTTTAAGTTATGTTATTATTTATTTAATTATGTTAAAAAACCGTGTCTTATAATATTATTATAACTAAATTGCTTAAAAAAAACTTACTTAAGAGTAAATAGTTATTAAAATTAAAAGTTTTTTTTATATTATCGAAAATTAATAAATGTATATATATAAATAAAGAATAACCACGATTTATATTATAATAAAAAAAAATTCTAATAAAGATTTACTTACTTGCCTTAATATATTAATTAAATATATTTAACGTTTTTAAAAAAGACTATTAATCGATTATATGGAAAATATTAACTTAAAAAATAATATAATTAACGTTATCTAAAGTTATTTAACTTTTAATATTATTATTTTAAAATTATTTGTTATATTTAAAAGTATTTACTTTAATTTTTACAGTGTAGCCGGAATTATTTA